CTTAAACTGTAAATTTTTATATAAATTATTACATAATATTATAGATTGTCCCGAAATAATCGAACGTTTAAATTTTAGAGTAAACCAATCTAATTCCAGAAATAATTCCACTTTTTATCTTTCCTCTTTCTCTTCAAACTATATGCTATATACCCCTGCAAATATACTTATGTCAGCAGCTAATTCAACTAAAGACTTAGATTTATTTAACACTACCTTATTTAATTTGTCTAATATTTGATCTAATCTTCTCTTATCCTCTTCTATTTCTCTGCTTTCTATATCATATTTTCCCCCTTTTTATTTCTTCTACATACATTTATAACCACTATACTCTCAATATAATTATTTATTCATATTATGCTGCTTTTATATAATACCTATCTTTAAATTTAAATCCTTATTTAATATTTAATATTTGTATGCATAAACTTTTTTTTTTCTTTTTTCTTTTTTCTTTTGTTCTTTTCTCTATTTTGTTCTGTTTTATGTTATTTGTATTGTATTCACATTACCTACTTTTAAGTTGTAACCCATATTATGTGCACTTAACACAAACTGTCACTACAATATTTTTGTAATTGGAATTTATTTCCGTAAATAAATTATTATTATTATTATTAATATGGTACACACACACACACACACAAACATATATATATATGGCGTATTGGCTTGTATTGCACATGCTATTGTAATCTAATTGCTGAAAAACTTCTTGAATTATTTCCAAATATTAATATTTTAATCAATAATGGTAAAAATAATGGTGGGGACAGACGTGGATAGACGGATAGTCGCTGCTTTATATTACAAGGAAATAAGGAATATTTTATAAAATACCAAAAGGTAATTGAAAATCTTGCAGAAGACAAGGAACAATGCGTTAAAAAAGTACTTGATATTATTTAAGATAGATCGGTTGTGAATGAACATAAGCGAAATTTCAACTAAAAAACTGAGGGTGCTTATATAAGCTCTGCATTTTCTGGGCATTTAAATTAAATTATAACCTTATGAGACACTTATGACTTTTTTGAGCAAAAATGTTTTATGACAATTTAACATTTAATAGTTATAGTGTATTAGGTACATTTTATAAAAATTAATACAATAGTCGATTTTAATTTATTAAAAATTGAAAAAAACTTATTTATATTTTATTCAAAAAATATGACCAATAAATATTAGTATACAAGGTGTAACAGACAGACTTGATGAAAAAAACATGACTACTTAAACGTATGACAAAAATTGTTAAAATTATATGATTAAATAATTTAAGAATTATTAATATACACATGTCAGAAAATTCCCAAAAAAGTTATTATAATAACTTACGTATACGTTCCAAATTCATTTAATCAAAAAAATATTGATATTTCAAAAATTCTAAAAATATACTACTTGACTTAGATAAATGTTTTTACCAACAAAGTTGTCCTTATAATCAGATTCACAAATTGGCTATTTTGTATATATCTAAAGAAATTTAAATCAAATTTAAAATTTTTTATTTTCAATGTAAAAAAATAATTTTTGTTATTTTTGCATAATATATGTGTAGCCCAAGTGATTATAAATTGTATATAAAAAAACATTATAAATATTGATTAGAACAAAAGTTATCCCAAAAGTCAGTTCTATCTGTACTATATAATACCATACGGATACACAATCACACAGGCGGTTGGAAACTTGGAACTCCAGTGAACACCAACTAACGAGTGATTCGTATATCGTAATTAAGTTTATGTCCGAATTAGATGTGGACACGGGAATGTTTATATTAGTAAATACTCGAGATACTATAAATTGTCGTAGTTCTGAGTCACTAGTACTCGCTACAACGACCACAACGAGCGGGTTTAGTAGAAACATTGGAAAATAAATATGATTTATGTTCCAAATAGATTTGAATTCGATAAAATGGCAATTGTTTCATTCATTATACTCCAATACCAGACTGAATAGTCTGATGATAAACTGTTTTTGGTTTTTTTTTTCTGTAAGGAGAAGTTTTGATACATAAACACATAAATTATTAGAGGGTGCTAATTTTAAAATTGGGGGCGCTAATACCCCCTAAGCCCCCCCCCTATTTGCGCCTATGTGAATGAATTAACATTTATTGATTTATATCAACTCACTTGTCGTTTTTACTTGAAATAATTAAAAAACTAGAAACATCAAATTCAGATAATATGTTGAGTGTACTCCTTAATCCTTATGGAGTAAGTCAGTAAGTCACTGTAATGTATATTATATTCATTTATATCGAAATTGAAAATTCTAAGTAATTTTAGAGTGTCAAGAAAAAAAGTGGTAATTTTGATGCAAAACCAATTTTTGTAAAAATCGATTTTATTTTTTTTGGTTTAACTCAAAAACTAATAACCGCAGACCTTTGGAATTTTCACCAGAGTAGTCAATAATCTCTTGATTTTTATGAAATGGTGATATTTTTCAGAATATCAAAAAATTACAAAATTTTATCTTATCGTTCTAAGTTCATCCTACTTATTCAATTTAATATTTCTATTGATGGACAAAAATAAATAATTGAAAAAAATCAAAAATTGCCAACGGCACGTAGTGTTCCCAAGCGGTCACCCATCCAAGTACTAACTACGCCCGACGTCGCTTAACTTCAGTGATCGGACGAGAACTGGTGTATTCAACGTGGTATGGTCGTTGGCGAATATAGAGAGGAAAATGACAATAATTAAATAAAATTAATTTGTTGACGTTTTATACGGTTACAAATCAAGTTATTTCATTAGTAAATACATTTTGACACAATGAAGCTTATTAGGTGTGCTGTAGAAGCGACGTAGTGTAGTATACCCACTGCAGATATAAAGTAGTATACCCACAGATATAAAGTAGTATACCTATATCTCAATATCTGTGAGTATACCGGATAGCCATAATATTATAAGTGTACCTATAGGCTATATGAGGTATTTATTTTTTCAACGTAAGGAAATACTTAAATGACAAATACTGATTATATAATATATACTATTAGACGTACCTATACAATTTATAGGTAAACATTCAACCTATAGAAATGTATTGAAACCAGGGCCGTCCCTAGGGCAGGGCGAGCGGGGCCCTCGCCCTGGGCCCCGCGCTTTCACCAGTTGGACAGGCCCCGCTTTCGTAGATACCATAAAAAAGCCAAGTTAATGAGAAAAAAAAAATATTATTTATATTTTTTTATATCCTTAATTGCTGTAATTTTTTCTACCTATACCTACGACTATACCTACTTATATTAATTGACATCAGTCGTAAAATAAATGTATTGCATTTAAAACGAGTTAATATGATTAAAATTCAATTTTCAAAGTTGAAAATGATAAAAATCTTCAAATTTTCAACAAATATTTATGTTAGAATTTTCCATAAAATTTTTCTCAATATTTTGACTATTTTTGAGCTAGTTATAGGCTTGAGCCCTTGAGGAATTTTTCCATTTTTCTAAATTTTTTTAAAATTATCCTCGATAAAATCTTTTTCATTTAGTAAAAAATCTTGAAAATGTAATGATAGGTTCCTTATAATTTTCATTAATGGAAGTTTTATAAATACATAGGCTCAATTATTTGTTATATGCTTCTAAAGTTCCAATTTTGACAAAATTCATAAAAGTTTTTTTTTCATACCTAACTTGAGACATTTTAATGGAAGGTTTCCAACAAGTTTTTGTAATTCTATCAAACTAAAAAAGTTCCCCAGGAAGCCACGTTTTCGATCTTTGTTATTTTTTTTTTAGCTACTAAATTTGATTATTTTTACAAGTATGCTAGGCTGATACAATGTCTCCGCTCAGAATATTTTTTCGTTTACAATAATTTATCAATGTAATTTAAATATAACACATCCATTACAACGACATGCTTGACACCCACTGTACAGCAGAGCGGTACCCACTGGACACTTGTCCTCCTTTTTTCATATTGTATTAGCCATTAGGTGCCTACTATATTTATAGACTGATTAATTTATCAATATTATTATATTAAGTATAAATATATTACGTGTTTTGTTATTAATTAATTTACTTATTCATATTATTGTAAGTACAAGGTACTATATTTTTAAGTATATTTGCTCGTAGCCCCCTTATACCTAGGCAGGTATATATCATAATTCATAATATTAAATATTTAAATAAATGCAACTGCCAACTGACAATAATGACATTTTAGGCCCCACAAATTTACTCTGCCCCGGGCCCCGCAAATCGTCCGGACGGCCCTGATTGAAACCCCGACAGTTTAGCTCAATTTACGCCACTGGTAAAGACAGACTACTACCTATACATTCGTATAGTGTTGTATTCATACGTTTTAGTAAAAAGTTGCCATGCATAAGTGTATTCTTTTTAGTAAGACATCCAAAGTATTGCCTCGCCACATTACCTTATTTTTCATTTGTAAGTATTATTTTCTAGTTGTACTGATTAATATATTTCTTAATAATATGGTGCCAGTCTAATTTGTTCACAAATATAGATTTCCAAAAAATGAAAATAGAAGGAAATAAATTTTCAAATTAAATGATTACCTAATATCTATCTGGAGCAGAATTTGCGGTATTCATTTCACAAACAGTAATTATAAACAAGGCTCAGTATATAGTAGATATTATTATGGCTAGAGCAGGCACGTAGCCAGAAAATTTCTACTAGGGGGGCCAATAATGTTTGGCCCTTTTATTACTTTCCATAATTTTTCTTTATGAAATTCTTGTAAGGGGTGCAATAAAGAGAATCTTATTAATTTAAATAATTTACCTTTAGTTGGTAATTGGTTAAAATTATTGTTTTCACAACAAGTTATACCTAATACTTACTTATTTAAGAATCACAAAAATAGAAAGTACCTGATAACAAAAAAAAATAAATAAATATAGAATTACCTACATCTTCACTTATGGGAAACATTTTTCATGCTATGAAAAATAAATCTACATTTTTTTTTTTTTTTTTGTTATAAATCCGTAGATTTGTTTGTTGCAGCTCTCCATGCTTCTCTATCGTAGCACAATTCCTTCAGGTCTTTGTAACTTCCCTTATTCGTATCCTGCATTATCTGTGTCATGTATTCTGTTCTTGGTCTTCCTCTTGCAATGTGTCCTTCAACATCTCCTTCAATTATTTTCTTTAATAAACTCTCATGCCTTAAAATGTGTCCTATCATCTTGCCCCTTCTTGATTGAATACTTTTCCATATTTGTCGTTGTTCCTTTATTTTGTCTAGTACTTCTTTATTCGTTACCTTCTCAGTCCATGGTATTTTGAGCATTTTCCTGTAGCACCACATCTCAAAGGCTTCTAGCCTATTTTTTTCCGTTGAGTTTATTGTCCAGGTTTCGGATCCAAAGAGCGCTACGCTCCAAATATAACTTTTTAGGAATTTCTTCCTTATTTCCAGGCTAACACTATTGGTAGTTAATATGTGGCTTTTGTCTTGAAATGCTCTTTTCGCCTGTGCTATCCTACAGATTATATTTGTTTTGCTGCGACCATCCTCTGTTATATTGCTTCCTAGATATGTGAATTGTTGCACTTGCTTTATTTGTTCATTTCCGATATTTATGTTGAGTCGAACCGGATTAGTTTTACTGCAAACCATAATTTTTGTTTTCTTTTTGTTCAGCTTCATTCCATACTTATTTTTTAGTATTCTATCTATTGTTACTAGGGTATTTTGCAGGTCGTCTTCTCTTTCAGCACAAAAAGCTATGTCATCCGCAAATCTTAAGGCAGTCACCATTGTTCCTCCTATTCGCACTCCTTTCTGTATTTCTTCTCTCAATTCTTTCATTGCCTCTTCAATGTACAAGTTGAATAGCATTGGTGACAAAATACAGCCCTGTCTTACACCTTTTTTTATTTTTGCTTCTTGCTCTTTCCCATCTATCTGTATTATGACTGTTTGGCTTTTGTACATATTATAGATAAATCTTCTATCGTTATATTTAATTCCGATTCTTTTTAATATTTTAAATAATTCCTTCCATTGTACATTATCAAAAGCCTTCTCCAGGTCTACAAAAGCAATGCAGGTTTTTTTGTTTCGTCTAATCTGTTTTTCTATCATTATCCTTAGCGCTAAGGTCGCCTCTCTGGTTCCTATATTTCGCCTAAAACCAAATTGATCTTCTCCTAGGTTTGCATCTATTGCTTTTTCTATTCTATTCTTTATTATCCTTGTTATTATTTTTGAAGCATGCGTGTTGAGGTTTAAAGTCCTATATTCCTCACAATTCATTGTCCCCTTTTTCTTGGGAATTGTTACTATAATGCCTTTCCTGAAATCATCAATTATTTCCCCGTTTAAGTACATTTCGTTGCATATATTTCCAAGTTCTTTATTTATTTCTTCACCGGCACACTTTATTAGTTCTGCTGGGATTTTATCTATACCGCATGCTTTGTTGTTTTTAAGATTTTCTATAGCAAAATCAATTTCTGATTGGAGGATATAGTCTCCTTTGTCTTCATCTTCTGCACAGTTCTCTTCTTCTAGGACATTTCCACTAAATTGGTTTGCATACAATTCTTCTAGATATTCTTTCCATCTGTTTACCTTTTGTTCGGCTGTTATAAGTATCTCACCCGTTTTACTTTTCAGTGCATTTCTATTCATTCTTCTTGTGCAGAAAAGTTTTTTCACAATTTCGAATCATTCTTCTTGTGCAGAAAAGTTTTTTCACAATTTCGAAAGCTAGATCACTTCTTCCCCTTTTTAGGTACTCTTCCACTTCAGTACATTGGTTATCTAACCCTTTTTTTTTGGCTTCCTTTGCTTTTCTTTGTATTATATTTCTGATGTGTTTGTAGTTCTGTTGACTGTCTATGTTGTTTTGGTTTTTGTATTTTCTTCTTTCGTTTATTAGTTCTATAATTTCTTCCGTAATCCAGGGTTTCCTTGCTTCTTTCTCCCGTGATCCCAAAACTTCCTCAGCCTTATTTTTTAGTATTTGTTTAATATTCTTCCATTTTTCTTCTACTGTGTTATTATCTGGTGTGACTGTCATTAGAGTGTCACTACATTTCTTATTATATGTCACTTTTATTTCATCGTTTTTTAATTTCTGTAGGTTCCATCTCTTAATATTATTTTTCTTTTTAATGTTTTTGTATTTTAGTTCTGATTCCATGATTAAGAGATTATGGTCACTATTTATATCTGCTCCGGGATATGCTTTACATTGTTTGATTTGGTTTCTAAATCTTTGTTTTGTCATAATGTAATCAATTTGGTACCTCGCTATATCTCCAGGAGCTTTCCATGTGTACCTTCTTCGTTTATGGTTCTTGAACAGGGTGTTTGCTAGCACAAGCTCGTGTTGTGTACAAAATTGTATGAGTCTCTCGCCTCTATAATTTCTTTTCCCTAATCCATAATTTCCTACTATATATCCGTCATTCTGTTCTCCTACTGATGCATTCCAATCTCCTAGGATAATGACGTTTTCTCCAGCTTTTGTCATCTTTAGCACTTCATCTATTTTGTCGTACACTTCTTCGACTTCATCGTCATCGTGCGCAGTGCCGGCGCTAGGTATTGCGGGGCCCTGGTCATAGGTCATCAATCAGGATTTTAAAAAAAGTACTGTTTTTATATATAATATAGGTAAATAATTAAATTTAAATAATGCTCTGTCAATTCATAATGAATCAAGATATTTTAATGAAACAAAAATCAAATTAAACCTTATTTTTATCTTTGTTATTCACTTGCCCCATATATAATTTTATGTAATACTAATAGCAAAAACAATCCGATTTTGCACTTGCCCCATGAAAAGGGGCAAGTGTGACGTTTTAAAATTAAAAAAAAAAAAATTATTCTTAGGTGAGTGATAATATAACTTTGTTGACTATAAATTCCAATTATGTATATCTAGAGGTGTTACATTATGGAACAATAACAACTTTAAGTTAAAAACAAAAAAAGTATTGTCAAATTCAAAATTAATTTTTCATTTTTGCGTCACACTTACCCCACTTTACCTTACCTACTTGAGTAAACGGAGACAACACATTCGAGTGCGATTCCTCCTGATGAAACCTCGCTCAGCACAGAATTATTGGCGTAGCGTGAGTTTCAGTTAAACCTTTGAGTGGAAAATCGTGGGCTAATAAATTCATAAGGGCTGGTTATTTTATTAATTTACATTTATTTTAACAACTACATAAAATCATCAATTAAAAATAAATTAATTCATCAAAATGTTTGAATAAAATAATAAATTGTTTAATATCTAAGTACGCGACCCCTGCAGTTAGAATAATGCAATATACGACGGTAGACCACGGTATTCGTATCAAGATGATAATTAAAAATCATGGGGCCGCGGGGCCCTTTAACAAGCGCGGGGCCCTGGACAAATGTCCCATTTGTCCTCCCCTAGCGCCGGCACTGATCGTGCGTTGTTGTTGGCATATATACTTGGATAATCGTTGTTATTGTTGGATAGGAGTTAATTTTTACCATGATGATTCTGTCAGTACATTGATAATAGCTCATAAGGTTTTTACCACATTGTTTATTCATCAGGAAGCCTACTCCTGTGTATCTATCGCTTGAACCTGTGTGAACAAATCTATATTCATCGCTCCAAAAATCACCACATTCGGGCCATCTTATTTCACTTACTCCAAGTATGTCAATATTCAATCTTTTCATTTCCAGCTTAAGATTTTCAAATTTTCCACATCTTCCAAGGGATCTTACATTCCAGGTACCAATTCTTTTGTACCTCCACTTTGCATCTCTCAAAGTAGTCTCCACCCGGACATCCGAATGGGAGACTATTTTACGTCCGGAATTTTTTACGTTGAGTTGGCAATTCATTCTGCAAATACTAGGGATGTTAATGTGGTGGTTTCCCGTTTCCTTCCACATCGCAGTACTGTAGTCGTGGAGATGTCTTCCATCATCGCCTACAGCTATTTGGTATGCAGCTGTACTAGCCCTTTTGGCCTCCACCTGCATCCAATACTGGATAAGCTGTTCATGCTTGCCCTCATCCAGTCCCTTTTTAACCGCCTCTTACGGTTAGCAGGGAATACTTTACCTTTAGTTGGTAATTGGTTAAAATTATTGTTTTCACAACAAGTTATACCTAATACTTACTTATTTAAGAATTACAAAAATAGAAAGTACCTGATAACAAAAAATAAATAAATAAATATAGAATTACCTACATCTTCACTTATGGGAAACATTTTTCATGCTATGAAAAATAAATCTACATACATATTTAAAATAATAGTTCGTGCTCAGACACCGTACAATTCGCACGTACATTGTCGCACACCGCTTATCTGTTCCGATAGCATAGTCGTTAGTGCTCGCCGTCGCGCCCTGCGCTCATTACGTTATCAAGCTGACGGTAATGTTTAACTTATCGTACATCCCAAGTATAATAACATCATTAACTCGCTATCGAAGTCACCATGAATAATAATCAACCAAACAAACCTAATAATATAATTAATAAGAAAAATAACAAATCCGCTCCGCCGATTACTATCTCAAAAACAATTATAACAACGAATTCAAAAGCTAACACTTTAGATTCTGGATGGTCAACACAAACAAATAAACGTCAACACTCCAACTCCTCAAACTCACTATCCGAACCCTCATCTCCGAATGTGAACATGGATTTAAATACTAAACAAAAAACACATAAAAAAAAAATCTTTGCTTCACGCAACAGGTTCGAAATACTTGACCAAGAAGATCCATTTGACCAGCCCACTATTGAAAATACTTCTACAAACTCTCAGCAAAATGATGCTGAAAACGATATAATGGAAAATGTAAACACACCAATTAAACCCCCTCCACCTATATTTGTTAAAGGTGTCGAAGATTTTCCCGCACTATGTACTGCCTTAATAGAGCTTATAGGTGTTGACAATTTTATATGTAAATCTTCATCAAATTCTCTGAAAATTCAAACTACGGACCCTAATGCCTACAGAGTATTAGTACATTACCTAAAAGCTGAAAAAGCTGAGTATCATACATACCAGCTTAAAGAAGAGAAACCACTTCGGATAGTTATACGTAATCTCCACCCATCCACGCCTCTAAGTTTAATAAAAGAAGAGTTGGAAGTTCGTCTCTACGAGGTAAGGCAAGTTACCAATGTACTACATAAAGTCAATAAAAATCCCCTCCCCTTATTTTTCGTTGATCTTGAACCAACACCGAAATCCAATGAAATTTTTAAAATGTCTTCACTACTTCATTGTAAAATAAAAATCGAAGAGCCGTACAAACCGAAGACAATCAGCCAATGCTTTAATTGTCAACAATATGGACACACCAGAACCTACTGCGGCTATCAACCCCGATGCGTTCGCTGCGGAGCAGATCATCAGTCAACTGCTTGCCCGAACCCACGCAATGCTCCTCCGAAATGCGCTCACTGTTCTCAAAACCACCCAGCCAACTACAAGGGCTGCACAATTTATAAAGAACTCCAACGTCGTAAGAAATCCAGCACACCAAGTAATCGATTACCAAATAATTTTAATACCCAAACCACTAATGTACAAAGTAGCCATCCACCTGTTCGCACTTTCCCAAATCACCCCTCTCCTCAAACGCAAACTTACGCTCAGGCCACGTCCAATACACCAGCTTTCGTTGCTCCTCCTCCTTCTACCGATACTCAGCCGCCTGATTTAAGCAAATTATTAACTAATTTTTTAGACGAATTCAAAAATGTTATAAATCCACTAATTTCTCTTTTAACTAAAGTAATATCCAAGCTCCTCGACAAATAATGACTAATAATAACTACAATAAATCTGTCACCGACGATTCGCTCTTAATACTACAATTTAACGCCAATGGACTAAAAAACCATGCCCTTGACCTCGAAACCGTATTAAACCACAAACGCATTGATGTTGCCCTCATTTCTGAAACCCACTTCACTAAATTCTCCCATATACATATACCCGGTTATACTCTAATTAAATCAAATCACCCCGACAATACCGCGCATGGAGGTGCTGCTATTTATATTAAATCTAATATTGAATTCTATCCCCTACCTAGGTTTTCTCAATCCTTTCTCCAATCTTGTGCTATTAACCTAAAGTTAAACAATACTTCACTCACCATTGCTGCTGTTTATTTACCCCCAAAACATAACATAAAAAACTCTCAATTCGCCGACTACTTCAACTCATTTAATAATAACTTTATCATAGGTGGCGATTTTAACGCCAAACATCAGTCATGGGGATGCCGCGTGAATAACCCCCGAGGAGTTACCTCATATAACTATATAAACACTAAGAGATTTAAAGTTCTAGCTCCACCTGATCCAACCTATTGGCCCTCTTCGGCCCGTAAAAATCCTGATATTCTTGATATCTTTGTCTCCAATTTACCGAACACCTTGTTCCACTCTACTAAAAACTTACCCGATTTAAATTCTGACCATTCATCAATACTCCTAACGCTCAATACTTCCCCTTCTGTCAAAGAATCCAACAAATTATTTAACAAATTCACAGACCATGTGTTGGGAAAAAAGGTAGATGCAAAAAAAATGATGTAGGTTTTGTTCCTTTTATTTAAACAGTTCAACAAAAAAACATAACTGTCTCGGCGACATAACCCGACTAGGAATGACAATGCAATAATTCACATTTTCCTAAATTGGAGGTTAGTTTTTAAATGTGATAAGTGCAGTGGACTGTATTTTAAATTGATTACATGATAATGATAACATTCTTGCTAAACATACCGGCCCCCTTGAGAGGTATTCTCAAAAGGAAGTGGAATAAATAAATAAATAATTTAAACATTGTAAAAATGGCATAATGGGTAAGTTACAGATAGATTTCAACAGAGTATAAACTATAGTATCATAACAATATAAAATTCACATAAGGTGACACAAAATTTCTTGATTAATAACAAAACAAATAATTGAATAATTGAATTAATTGGCTTTAACCAGTTAACTAATGTTCGATAGGCAGTCTTATGAGTTTATTAATAGGACGCTTTAGCACCGAATCCTTTGTCTTCAGTGTGACAACTCGCACGAAGTGGTCTGCAGGATTGGGGTGCACCTCGAGGATTCTGGCTAGGGGCCACTGAGTGGGAGCCATATTTTCTTTCTTGAGGAGAACGAGATCGTGGACTTGGAGGTTAGGCTGGGGAGTGGTCCATTTATTCCGTTGCTGTAGTGTAGCCAAATAATCTTGCGACCATTGTTTCCAGAAGGACTGCTGCATTTTCTGTATTCTATTCCACCTGGTGAGTCGATTGGTGGGTGTTGGCTCAGGAATGTCGACTTCAGGTAATGACATAGGAGCTTTACCTAACAGGAAGTGCCCGGGAGTCAGTGCTGAGTAATCGGTGGCTTCCATACTGGCGGGGCAAAGTGGTCGAGAGTTAAGTTGCGCTTCGACTTGACAAAACAATGTGTGTAATTCTTCATATATAAAGACACTATTTAGAGTTATGCGTTGGAGTATGCGTTTACAAGATTTGATGTTAGCTTCCCAAATACCACCAAAATGTGGCGAAGCTGGTGGGATAAAGTGCCAGTCTATCTCTCTGGGCAAACAGAAAGTATTCAGGGCTGAGTTCAAATGTTGAGAGCACAGCAATTTATACATTTCATGTAGTTTATGATGTGTACTAGTAAAATTCGTACCATTATCACTGTACATTTTAGTTGGATAGCCTCGTCTGGCAACAAAACGTTTCAGTGTGGCGATGAAGGTATCGGCTGACAAGTCACTCACTATTTCTAGGTGTACAGCCTTGGTGGTCAGGCAAATGAAGAGAGCTAAATATGTTTTGTACACAATTCTTGAACGTCCAACTGAGGGCTTAGTACTGAAAGGTCCGGCAAAATCAACTCCACAATGGCTGAACACTGGTGCGTAATTAACTCTAAAAGCCGGTAAGTCAGCCATGAGTTGGTGGGTTTTGACTTGTCGAAATCTGTAACACTTAACACAATCATGAAGAACCTTTCTGATGATGCTGCGCCCATGTACAACCCAATACTTCTGCCGCACCAGAGACATAGTGACATTGAGACCAGCATGCTGGTGCAGAAGGTGGATGGAGCGTACTACCATAGTTGTATACAGATGTGCCTTTGGTAAAAGAACTGGATGCCTCATGTCATAAGGTAAACTAGACTGAGTGAGTCGACCACCCACGCGTAAGACCCCTGCTATGTCAAGGAAGGGGTTTAGGCTGACCAGAGTACTGGATGACTTGACGGGGAGACCCAGTCGCAGCTGATGAAGGTCGAGTGGAAAGCATTCCTGTTGTACTAACCGGATCCATTTTAAGTTGGCTGATCGCCATTCACACACAGTTGGTAATCCAGTTAGACGAAGAGCTACAGGTTTTTGGCAGTTGTGATAGAAACGTAAAATGTAACAAGTGACATGCAATAACTTACTCAAATCCGAGTACTTAGCTAGCAAGTTGGAGTTAAACGCGTCAGCTTCTGTGGTCACATGTGTAGTTACCTGTGGCTTACGTTCCTCTTGGAGAGTTTGATTTGGATCCTCACATTCAAACGTAGACTGTGGCCATGGATTGGGGGGTAATAGCCATTGTGGACCATGCCACCACAAGGCATTTGTAATAAGTTGATCACCTGACAGGCCCCTGGAGGCCAGGTCCGCAGGATTGTCCTGAGACGGGACATGCCGCCACACCGCTGAGGGACACCAGGTTTGAATTTGACTCACTCGATTGGATACAAAGGTAGTCCACCGGTGTGGATCACTCTGAATCCACTGTAGAGTGATTGTAGAATCCGTCCACAAGTTGACTGATTCTATGTTGATTGTAGACAGTGCCTCTAATAGGTGTTTGGTCAAGGATGCTAACAACGTGGCACCACACAACTCAAGCCTGGGTATTGATTGGGTCTTAAGAGGTGCAACTCTGGTCTTAGACAGAACTAAATGTGATGATGATTTACCGTCAGGAAACACTGACACTAGGTAGAGAGCAGCAGCATAAGCTTGTTCCGAACTGTCACTGTAACCGTGTAGACTATATGTGGTTACCTGAGTGTGTTCGTCATTGCAATGCCGTGGTAATTCAAAGAAGCGAAGAGCACCGTAGGAAGATCGATGATCCGACCACCATTTGATCAGTGTGTCAGGCAGCGGGTCGTCCCAATCCAACTTGTTCTTCCACAGGTGTTGCATAATGATCTTCGCAACGATCACAAGTGGGCTTAACCATCCACACGGATCAAAAATCCTCGCGATTTCCGAAAGTAATGAGCGTTTAGTACATGTTTCACCAACCTTGGAAGATTCAACATGAAATGAGAACGTATCGCGTTGAGCATTCCATGATATACCCAATATTTTGATTGACGGATCCATGTGGTCGATCAGCGTTAGTTGAGTGGCTCTTAGTGCTGTCGGAATGTGCGTTAAAACTGCTTCACAGTTGGTGGCCCACTTACGTAGTTCAAACCCACCTCGGGCGAGCAAGTGTAGTAGCTCCTGGTGTAGCTTGATTGTGGCAGTAATGTCATCTCGTCCGGTCATTACCTCATCCACATAGAAATCTCGCTGTAGCACCGCAGCTGCCTCAGGATGAGTCCCTTGCTCGTCGTAGGCCAATTGCTTCAGGACTCGTAAAGCATGGTATGGTGATGTGATAAGCCCATACGTCACCGTATTTAAGGTATAACTTCTTATTGGACTAGATTCATTTGGACGCCAGACAATACCTTGGTAGACACGATCGTCGGGGTGTACTAAGATTTGTCGGAACATTTGTCGAATGTCTGCGGTAATAACATAGCGAGGTAGACGGAAACGGATTAATATGTCAATTACCTCTTTCTGTAATTTTTGTCCTTTGTGAAGTAGTTCATTCAATGAGTTTCCTGTGTCCATGGTGCATGAACCATCAAACACAACACGAAGCTTCGTAGTAGTACTGGATGGGTTTAAAACTTGATGATGTGGAATGAATATAATCGGACTTGGACTAGTGGACTCTACTAATGTCATGTGATGGGCTGTTACATAATCACTCATAAAATCTTTGTAGAGTTGGTGTAAGGCAGGTTTGGTCTGCAGACTTCTCTCAACTTTCTTTAAGCGTTGAACAGCGAGCTGGTAAGAATTGTTCACTAGCGGTGGTTCTTTTACAAAAGGAAGTCTGACAGTGTAACGACCAGAGCTGTCTCGCGTAAATGTCTCAACAAAATGCTTTTCACACTGTTGGTCTTCTTTGGACATACATGTGAGGCGTGGTACCTCTTCCAGTTCCCAAAATCGGTTCACAAGTGATTCAACTGTCGTGGTACAACACGTGACCGACTTAAACATTGATAGTTCATTGTGGGGTTTAGATAATTTTCCACATACTATCCACCCAAAGATAGAGTTGTGTAGCGACGGCGTACCTTTGGGTCCTTGTATTTTACCATCGAGCATTATATCCAGACTGTATTCAGCACTTATGAGTAAGTCGATTTTGTTGGGCACATGGAATGTTGGATCGGCTAACTCAACCTGCTCTAAATGAGTCCACTGTGAAACATCCACGGCTGCAGTGGGTAGATCCACAGTTATCTTAGGAGACACTAAGGCAGTTAACGTCATTTGTTTGCCATTGGTCCTAGGAGAAATATTGAACGTGGAAACTTGAGATGTGGTTGTAGAAGCATTTGATACACCATCAATTATCATTGGCTGATGCAATGTTTTTAAACCTAACCGACTTGCTAAGGCTTTAGTAATGAAATGTGATTCAGATGCAGTGTCTATTAATGCACGGCATAGTTCTGACCGTCCACTTGGTCCGTACACGCGCACCACTGCTGTTGATAATATGACCGTTGACTTTTCTCTTAAGGCACCATGATTAACTGCCACAGTGTCTATTCCACTAGATGTCGATGGTTGTGTCTTGAGAGTCAACGTGGGCACTTCAGAAGTATTGTTTTCTCCCTTAGAGTCACCAAAATGTAAAAGTGTATGATGTTTACCACCACATTCTTTACATGTTTTATCAGATGAGCATTGACTGGAAGAATGTGAGGCCCGTAGACAATTTATACACAATTTGGCCTTCTTAGCCAATGCATGTCGCTCACTCGCTGTTGACTTCATAAATAAATTACACTGATAAATAATATGATGCTGTGAACAAATATTGCACGGCTGCTTATTACCTTGTGCTGCAGTCACAGCATGAGTTGTTGCTCGACTGTTGCACTTGTTGGTAAGCTTAGATCTGGGTGTACTGGATGATTGTAGTTGTAATAAATCTAACACGTGTATTCTTTTCTCCATAAATTTACACATTTGTAACCAAGATGGAGACTCATAGGCAGATGATTCAATTTCCCATGCTTTTCTGAGTTCACTTGGTAAACGGGATGATATAAGGTAAATTATAATTGTATCCCAAGACTCAGTGGGTTGTTTTAATACTTTTAATGCTCTAAGATGTTTATTTGTTGTATCAACCAATGCCTTCAAGGAGCTGACAGCTTCACTCTGAATGTGTGGTTGATTGAACAAATGTTGTAAGTGTACTTGTAGAACAAGACGTTCATTATCATAACGGTTTGTCAACAAAGACCAAGCCTCCAGATAATTGTTACCAGTCGATGATAATGATGCAATTACATTAGCCGCTTCTCCTGATAAACATGATTTTAGATAGTGCATTTTTCTGGTGTTGTCAATGTATTTATTAACGTGAATAACAGATGAAAATTGGTCGTGGAAAGCATACCAATCTTCCAATTTTCCTGTGAATGTAGGCAGGTTCATGGGAGGTAACCTGATGGATTGTTGCCCTTGTTCGCTAAGTGCATTTTCGTTTTGAGGTTCGTGTGTAGTTTGCCTTAAGTCTAATGTACTTTGCAAAATCCCCTTGATTTTAATGAACGTCCGAGATACCTCTTCCAAGGCGTCAATCATTAACTCAACCTCAGAGTCCTCGACCAACAAGGACAGCTCATCGTGTGCATTTGCATACGTTGTAAACGCACTTTCTGCAAGTTCTAAATGCACTTTTATTTCGTGACTCGCCAGTCCCTCCATTGTCAATGTGGTGACTATGTGTAACTTTTTCCTTATCAGCTTTTCCTTGTTTGAGAGAGTTTTTCGTAAAGTTGTCAACTTCTCCTCCATCTTGAATCAATTAGGTAAGTCAATACAAAATAGACGGAAAGCCGATTACGCGATTGTACAACGCACGACACAGACGGAAACGCACATGTAACGCGTACGAAAACCGACGACCGATGTATACGCGAATGTAACGCGCACGACACTTAGAATATGACCGTCGGACACGCGAATGTAACGCGCACGACAATTAGAATATGACCGTCGGACACGCGAATGTAACG